ACGCCGTGCTCCAAACATAAACCTTTAACAACCTTTTTCGTATGTCTAAATTAACCGTTCACGAGCATAGAAGTGACTTCTTTTTATTAAAGGCGATACGATGCTGCGCTATCCTGTGCTTTATATCCCTACTACTCCTTCCATCCTGACTTATCTGACTTCCTAGGTATCTAAAATCAGCCACTTCTTCTAATTTTTCGTCTCCTATGTTTATATTTGCTCTTTCCCTACTTTTTCTTCCCTTGCATATCAGTATTTTAGTTTTACTTTTATTTATTTTCATACAGAACTGATCTGTCAATACCGCTTCCATTTTATTTAAAGCTATCTGTAAGTCCTCCTTGCTAGATGCTAATACTGCTATATCATCTGCAAATCTAAGCATACTAATATTTTGCACTTGTACATCTATCCCCACAGTCGTAGTACTGTCTTTAATGATGTTGATATCGTCTTCGATGTATAGATTAAAAGTATATAGTAGCGGTGACAGTATGCATCCCTGTCTGACTCCCTTCCTAATATTTACTTCTCTACGTTGCAGCCCCAGCTCTGTAACTGCCTGTTGCTCTTTATACAAACTAAGTATCACTCATTGTCAAAAGCTTTCTCTAAATCTACAAATCCTATGTACGCACTCTTTCCTTTTTCTATCGTTTTCTCTATTGTTACCCGTAAAGCTAGAATGGCCTCCCGTGTTCCTCTATTTCTTCTTAACCCAAATTGATCTTCCCCTAATAGTTCTTCCGCCCTTTTTTCCATCCTCCTCTGTACAATTCTAGTTTAGTTGTTTGACGCATGGGAAGTTAAATTAATTGTTCGATATGTCTCGCAGATGTCATTATAAGCAGATTCTATTGTAGTTATATTAAGGATGTGGGATGCTCTTGTTTTAACAAAATGCGAAGTTTAGCTCAGGATGAGAAAAAATAGAGGTGCGTGTCCAACCAGTCTCAGAGCTTACGATCTTACGATGATATTGATGATGTAGGAGACAGATTTTAAATTTAGCGTTTATCTCGCTTTCAGTCCTTAACTATGCTTTTTTTGTGTGCCTAATTTTAAGTAAACAACTTCTGATATGCTGTTTCGATTACCAATTCATTTTATAAATCTGTGTAAAACTGGAATTGCGGTCGACGACTTTGGACCTTACAAATTCCAGATTTGAATTATACCTAATGCGGTCGCTTATTTTCAAAAGTTTTACATTTCTTAACGGTTGAATGCTTAATAGCCAATTTTTATGGATTAGAAGTGTTTTTTTTTAATTTAAATGATTTATATTCAGCTTTATTTAAACGTTTTTAACTTCCTCATCAAATTGGTACGTTACGCCACTGTTTTATTACTGAGAATTAATTGTTTACTCCAAAATTAAATTACGTTTTTATTTGTTGCTGGCCTATCACAAGAAATATTGCAAAATTTATTTATTATTAGACATGCCACTTGACAAAAACTGAATAATCCGTTTGTTATTGACACCAGTTTTTATTTTTACCTTGAAATTAAAAATGCCATTTTGATACCGGTACAAATTCGTTTGCTTTCATAATATAAAATAATATTTTTAATGATTAATGGGAAATAACGCGGTAAGTATCGTTTGTTTGCAAAAACCAGTTTTTTTTTCTTGTTTTTGTCGGAATTGTTTTATTTAGTGCAAATTTTTAATACCGGTGGAAATTTTCGGTACGGTGAATCATTAAATTTTATCGTGATTGTTAATCTAAGTTTTGCCATGTTAATGTATGAATAATAAATCGATTATGGCAGTGGATGATCGTAAGTACCCATGTTGCAATAGTGAGGTCGGGGAGTAACTGTAATAATGCTACTATTATTAACAGAGAAATTTTTATTTTTATTAAAGTTTACAGCATCTAGTCGCAATTTTATTTTAAATGTTAAATATTAGTAAAACTGTAAGTAGATGAAGAAGACCACTGCATGTTTTAAAGCAGTCGTTTTGTCCCTGCATATACTAATCTATATATTATTTATAATCATAATCATCAGCCCAAAAAGTGTTTAGACACGTACCTTCATTTGTTCCTATGTTGGGCCACTTTTTTGCGTTTTTGGTGAAATTAAACCGATCTACATCTCTACTATATGTAAACAGTAATCTAGTCTAGGTCCACTTCTACGTCTTTTATCTCCTGTTTCTGCTTCTTATATATCTCTAGCCCTTCATTAATTATGCAACGGAAACAGAAGTAAATAGTAAATTTAAAATAAACTCTAATGATTTCAAGTGACTCTTTAAGGATGTTTGGGAGGTACAATCGGAGACAAGAGTACATAAAATTAGAAATTCGTGATTAATTAGGTTTTACAGCATATCATGAGGTAAATAAATACTATCTATACTAAAAAAAAGTACACGGTTTAAAAGAAAATTTGGAATTTGACCAAAAACTTTGAATAAAATAAGAAATAACGAATAATATGGAAAATTTTTAACTGACTTTTGGCAGTGAATATGCCTTGATTTCAACTTCGAAACAAAAAAATATTTAGTTTCAATCTCTATTAATAATGAGCGTAAAACTTTTTAATATGTTTAAATAATAATTAAAACTTTAAAATTGCATTTATTTCAGACAATTATAAATATTATCATTATATTATCAAGTAAAAACGAGATTTTCAGCTAATTTTTCATTTTTTCCTCGATAACCATTTAGTGAATTTGAATAACCTTACGCTAAAGTGATTCTCCAGAGTTCAAGTTACTTATTATAAAAGTTTGAAATTTCTGGTAGCTTTTTTTCTGTTAATAAAAATAAATTTAATCTGTTCGGTTAACGAATCTCCATAAAATGACGTGTAAAATTACAATTTTTTAAAATTTCAATAACTTTTAAACGGTTTAGTGAATCGATTTGTAACTTTTACAGGAGTTTTAGAATTGAATGAGGAACGTTCTTCCAAATTTAAATTTGTCTCGTAGCACATCCTTAATACTTGCATAGTTAATATCAACAAAATAATTCCAAATGGGGCTTATTTTTGACTTCCAAATTGCATTTTTAACTTAAAACGTACAACACTAAACAAACTAAATAAACCCTATGGCTGTGTTAGTATTTTCGAAATGAAATTATTAGGACTGTTAAGGGGTAGCTGGATGTCCTCGACGTTGTATGAAATTTTTAAATTTTAAGTTCTCTTTTTTAACCCTTTAGAATGCGATTTTCGAAAAATCCGTTCTTAACGCTCCCCTATGTAATTGTCAGGGTATATGCTATCAAAATTTCATTCAAATTAAACCTAGTAGTTTCGGCTGTGGTTTGATGATCAGTCAGCCGCGACAACTTCCTTTATATTCATCCTACAAGCCAAATTGACCAACTTTTCCATACACAAACACAAAAAACAATAAAAACAAGCATTTGATCTTAATAGTTATATATTTATACAATACTTATTTTGAATTTTGCATTTGGAATGCATTTTTAAAATAATTATAAATTTAGTACCTTTTGAAATGAGAAAACGTAATTAGAATGCATTTTGTTCAAGCCATTTTATACTGATTATAAGGTAAAGGACCGTTCGTATGCTACGTCACGATGTTTTTGTCATTTTTTAAACCCCTTTTCCTCTTTGTTACACTTCGTTTTATACCTTGTTCCCATTTAAAACGTCTCAATGTCGTTTGTATATTTTTGGGGCAATTTTGGTACTGATTGATTCTATACAAATGTCATGTTAGCCTGAGACCCTGCTTCTTCCTATTGCTATATTTCGTCTTGCTACCCCCCTCGACCCTCACGGCGTGACGTAATGTATGAAGGACTTATAAAATAACCGAAGTCAACTAAAATGTAGGTTGTTATAGGGACGTTTTCGTACTAAGAAATTTCGTTAGGTATAGACAATTTACATTACTTTCACGTTAATATGTTCATATTATTAATTGTAAAAAAAAAAATAGAAGCGGGAGTGTTCTCATGTACCACCCGCCACTGCTGTATGTGTATGTATAAGTATTGCTTTCAAAATCAATAATAAACGTGAAGCTCGTAATAATGAAGTGAACATTTTGTAAAAATATAAAATCGATATCTATTTGAAGGGGTGGTCGTGAATCCAAGCGATTCTTCAGACAGGTTTAATACATGCACTTAATATACCTATATATAACAGGCGCGCCGATAATCATTTCTCATGGCCTTCTAGGGTCGTAAAATTTGAATGTAACTTTTTCTCGAAAATGAGTTTTTGATTTTATTATAGACAATGCTTTCATTTTTCCTTTAAAAATGTATTCGAGGCCAGACAAGAAATTTATTGCGAATGTAAAGCAAAAGAAACAGTAAAAAATTTATAAAATTGATAGAATGTATATCGCATTCATCATTCGTTTTCTTGAGAATGACTCTCGAGGGTTGAAATAGGTAATATATTCTGCGAAACAATCTCAGTGTTTTTTGTTACTCAATTTCTTTACATTAATTGTGAAAATTTTATATACTTTTTTTTATTTTCTTGCGCATGAGTTTTTAAAGTTTTTTCTCTTTTCCATCTAATTCCATTTTTTATTGTCTATATTTTCATTGTTATGTATAAGTAATATCATGCAATTTATCTTTTTAGTGAAAGAACGTTACAAGATGAGTTTTATTATTACATTATTTGTAGTATACTATTTATATGTTAAATAGTAACATTATTTTGTTTACTGAATGTATATTTTAATGTTAATCGTGTCGCATATGGAAAACCCTAATGTTTCATTTATAACTAATAAGAGTTGCTAGTTCCGAAGAGGACAAATTGCAGAAAATAACACTAGATGGCGATGTACTGCCTATAGTCTGATACACGTAATTCTTATGTTTACGGCACCTTGTATTTTGCTATTTTGGGTAATAGTCCTTATATGTCAAAGCATTTCTTTGCGGGTTATGGGTTCTTTTTCTCCTTTTAAGGTGCGGAACCCCAAAAGTATAAAGGCTGCTTTAGGTAATAATCTTTATTTTTTGCAGCATTTCTTATTCCAAACGAACGACGATGATGGCATGGAGGACGACGGTTCTCGACACGATATGCTCCATCCCATGAATAACCAAAATAGATCGAATAATGCCACAAAACAGTCCACGACGACGTCGTCCACGTCCAGCTCGTCGTCGCTGACGGCGGCCATCGAGAAGGAATGGCCGGATGTGATCAAAATGAATGATTACCTTAGTACCGGAAGAAGGCAACAGTTCTGGGAGGAACCGTTCACGAAGCGGGTCATGGATGCCATCAAAACGAAAAATTTAGAAATGAAAATCGCCGCTGAACTTTTAGGTGTTTCGTATGGAACCCTGTATGGACGGTATAGGGACGCCTATGGATGTCTCAAGCACCCCTACAGGTGAGTTTTTCAAAATTGCATTTCTTTTTGTGTACTTTTTGAAAAATTCGTGCACTTGAAGTATAAACATGTGATTTATTTGCAATTCTTGGCAAGAATTGGTTCAATATTCGTAATAATAAAAACATCTGAACTGGTGGCGCCTGAAGAGATCAACCTTTTCAGTTTATGAATGAATAATTGTAGTTCCTAAGCTTGGAACGCTCTGTTCGACTTGAAAATTTATTTACATGCTTTATATTACACCGAATAAGATTGTTAGCAGACTCAAACAAGAAGGGTGAAAAAATATTTGAAGGTTAGGTTACGGTTGGAAAGGTTGCTCTTCTCGGTGTACTTTGATTCCTGTCTAAAACAAACACTTAGTCGTTCTTTTGACTTTTCTTAGTTCATCATAGTGAAATTGAAGACACCCTAACTTCTGTCTAAGTTATTACGTTTCTCACGTGTCATCAGGCTGGGTTGGGTTATTGGTTTAGATTAGATGAAGTGGTTAGAATAAATGCCACTAATTTAATTGTAGGAGAGTAATTGCCCAAAGTTAACATTGATTAAATAACCCATGTGATCGAGAGGTGGAGTTTCCAAATTTCACCATCTTTTCAATTGTAACAGATCATATTATATTATTGCAAAGAGCAAAACAAATTGTATATCTGACTGAGGAAGAACCCTTGGAGTGTCGCGTTATTAGCTTTTTAGCTGTGGGGGAAATTTCCAGTTTTACGGTTTTACGATTGACCTTTCAGATACATTACAAAAAACGTCTCTATGACTGGGAAGTTAATAAATTGTAGCAGTTGCTCTATCAAGTCCGCCGTGCGAATAAGGGGCCATTCAGGTATTACGTAAATACTAAAGGAGGATGAGGGGTTTTTGCTCTGTTAATTTTTCATGATATGAGGATGAGTGTCTGGTTGGTGATTACGTTGGTAATATTTATTAATTTATTTTTCTGATTTTTCTGTAAAATTTAGTAGATTCTGATTTAAACAAATGTGATAACCCTACTTGTCTATGTCAGAAAGCAAAACGCATGTTCAGGGATTCCCCAAAATAATTGTTAATGCTCCCTCGCTCTCACGCATTTTTTGATTAAGTTAGCAATATTTTAAGAAAATATGCAGGGGAATCTTCCTAATCCTAACATAAGCATGGAGATTTTTTAAAAGTATGTAGTTACCGTGCCTATCTATTTTTGTGCAGTTTAAGCTTAAGTTATGGTTGAAAAATAGGATTAACTTTCAAATCAGGGAAACCATTCATATCATAATCTATCCTTCAGGATCTGATTTGGATTTTCAGAAATCTTTTTTTAAACGTATATAATTGTAGCAGCATTCTAATTTTTACGTATACCCTCCTATTAAAAGGTTACTTGGTGAATTACGCCCTCCCCCTCCCTTAAACTCTCTGAAGGTTTGCTTATGGCTGTTTTAATGGTTATCAATTAATAAACGACACTTATGGAAATGTTTGAGTAAATAAAGGTCATAAGAAATCAAAAATACATTTAAACAGTTTATTGATTAATAACGTGTATTTTATCACGTTCTTGATTTTGACTGAGTTGAGTATGCAAGTTAAATGGATACAGGAACAGGATTTCTTGCTTTAACAGATAACATCATTGGTATTTTTGTAATTTTTTGCTTCCTATTTGACAATTAAATATGGGGTTTTTAAACCTTTTCGCGTATTAATTCATATTGTTTCAGTTTATCTGAAGATTATAACATATTGGAAAATTTTTTAAAAATATTTTTTAAATTGGTATCGATTAAATGTTATTACTGTTTTTCATCAGAACATGTGTTAATTAATATTTATTTCATGCTTTTTAATTTGAGGCCTCGCGGTGGGATTTTTTTTTTACTGTATTTATTATCATCACTAGTGTCCTGAATTTAAGTGTGTACGTATTACATTTATTACAGCAGCGATAAAATATGACAAAAATAGACATTTTCCACATATTTTGTTTTCATAATGCTTAAAAGGAGTGTTGGTATAAATAGCCTTTTTTTGGGACACAGCTCCTTTCGTACGAGGATATGCAGATGTTTATTCATTGTGGCTAAATAATTTATTAATAATTTGCATTCCAATTTCGTTTATGCAACGTTTAGTAACATAATAAAATTTCTTCCAACATCTAGAATATTTAAGTATAAACAACATGTTTTTTATTTGAACCTCGGTTTTTATGATTCACAATTAATGCAATATGACCAAAATAATCGTCGAACTAAAAGGATGACTTTTCTAACTAACACAAAATGTTTTCGTGGAAATTAACATTTGGTTTTATTTATAGACTGAACTATGAGTTTCTACCAAGTGTTTGTTCATTTTGGAATTGTTGTTAATTAGACATTTTCATCACATTTCGTCACATGTTTAAAAAATGAACAACTTAAAATAAATAACTGTCATAATTGTTTTTATTAAACATTGGGCCTTTTTATTTTATACTGCCACTTTTTCTTTCAGTTTTTTTATGTACAATTTTTTGGTAATATCAGTTATATTGTCATAAGTGTGTATTATTCGTGATATTTATTACCAAAATAATTTAACAGCAAGGTTATCGACTTAACGAAGGTGTTTTGAGGCACGAATAAGTAAACAAAAGACCTGAAGGATTTTTAACCTTTATTATTTTGCAATAAGTATGTATTTGAAAAATATTTTCACCATAAAACTAAAGTCTATTTACTTACATTAATGATTATAAATAAAGTAAATAATAAAATTCATTGTTACGTGGTATGCACCAGTTTAGGTTATGGCGGGAAAGACTTATCGGATTGACATGCGCTGCAGTAGGTATTGATTTAGGTTAGGTTAGGTTAGGTTATGGAAAGGTTTTCGTGGTTGACGTGTGTGAAATTATATGCACTATGGGTTTGTGTTAGGTTATGGTGAAAAGAAGATTTCTTGATTGGCTTGGGTGGACTAAGAAACAAGGGTTAAGTGGTACGTATTAAGTTACGTTTCCATTTTGACGTGTATTAAGTGCCATGCACCATTGATTTAGGTGAGACAGAATTTCTTGATTGATATGTATTAAAAGGTTAATTTAGGGTTGGAAAGGTGCGTTTGATTGGTATATGTAAAGTGGATGACGTGTTATAATGGAGGGTTGAAGTCAGGTTATGATATGGATGATCGCCATGATTGAAAGGATTCAACTAGCTAATCCTAATAAAATTATCCGATTTTGTCACAAATAACAAATTTTTATTTAGGTTTTTTGTTAATCTGTGTTAACGTTCACGATGATATAAGGATTAAAAATTTAGTCAGTTTCGCTTGACTTTCAATAATTCGTCTGATTTTATCAGGAAGGATTTTTAAATTTGTTGAATCGTGTTGTAATTATATGTATAAATCGGAAAGTGTGTCAGCCAAGGTTATTATTTTTACAAGTACCTACTTGTTTTTTTCTATATTAAAAACCTTCAAATACTTTTTTATAACCACTGAATTAGTTATTTATACATATAATACAGTATAAC